ATGGGAAAGTCCAATTAAAGTCTGCAAGAACGACCCGGTTCCTGGAAGTGCTTTCGAGTTCCTAAGAGGCTTTCTCGAAACAGCCCGTGCCTGAATCTCAGGAACTGGGTGGGTTCTAAGCTTGCCATTAAGGCACCACCATCGTAAGGTTGGGGTTGTGGACCATGTGAAGTGAGCCACTCCGCTGGCCAGCAATATTGTAGACCAGGGGCCTTCAAACTTGACAGCTTGAAGACTTGTGGACTTCAACTCCCAGAATTCCTCCTCCGGTCATGTTAGCTCAGGAATTTATCTGGGAGTTGAAGTCCATAAGTCTTAAACTTCCAAGTTTGAAGAACCTTGCTATAGACTATGCTAAGGCTGAATCGTGGCTCGGTCAATGAGCCACGGCGTGTGAAGCTAACCGATGGAAAGAACATTATTATAGGCTGTGGAAACTCAAGTTCAGAAGGGTTTCTGCACTGTAGTTCTTGGACCGGTTTTGACCGAGAGATTTGGCAATACAAGTACCGAATCTTTAAGGAACAAGGCAAAAAATTTCACTGGGTAAGTCATGAGAACCTACCAGAACTGCCAGCTATTCCCGTTTGCCTCAGTTTACAATGAATAATGTATTCTAAACCTTACAGATGACGTGAAGACACCGCCTTGGTTGAACTTGACAGGTTCTGCAAGGTTCACGGGAAGTTCATGAGAAAATTTCTGGCCAGCAGAAACTCAAGTCAAACTCTGCTGCATTACACTGAAGGAACTATAGACTCCCAGGTTAGCCAGTCACAATCTTCAGTGAAGCAGAACTGGTATGAAACTCCAGCCTCCTGTTCCTCATTAGCTGGGACTCAAAAATATTTTCTCCTCTGAGCCTGGACTTCATGTATAGTTACAACCAGTAGCCATAGACAGCCTTCTCGATGCACTTGGCCAACTCCTTTCCAAACCATGTAATGTTAATGGCCAGTGCACCACAGTCCTATGTCTGAAATGGAAAGTCCGCCACTCTGCAGAGGTCAATGGATTTCCACCACATGAAAGGAGCACCCAAGTAGACATTAGCTCATGGGAGGTGGAGCTCAATGATGCTACATGTTGACTTGGAAGTACCCAACTTCTTCTTTCATCTCCAAGGCAAGCACCATCATGTGGCTATCTTGGAAACTTTGGATCAATCAATCAGCCTAGTCTATTTCAGAGAATTGTTTCATAATAAAACAGAAGCCACCCATTTATGTCTCCATCTCTGTCTATAAAGAAGAATATCTATGGACTATCTATAAAGAAGAATATTTGTAGGATTGAAATGATTGCAGTTGTGTTTCCAATATAGTCTGTTTTTGGAGGGGGTCCTTGGTGCTCTCTGAGTTTGGTGGTTTTCTTGCAGACTTCTGATGACCCAATTAGGTAACATCATCAGCGCTAGAAGGGTTAGCACAAACTAACCCATTCCCTTCTAGCGCTGACGATGTTACCTAATTGGGTCATCAAAAGTCTGCAAGAAAACCACCAAACTTAAAGAGCACCAAGGACCCCAGAGTCATTGTCCTCCTCCTCCTCCCCCTTTCCTTTCTCCTCCCTTCAGCAAACCCCACTCCCTTCTAGCCCTGATGATATTACCTAGTTGGGTAATGAAACGTCTGCAAGGAAACAACCAAATTCAGAGAGCACCAAGGACCCCTCCAAAAATAGACTATTGGAAACACAACTTCAATCCCAAGGCTTTGGATTGAACCCTCTTCTTTACTTAAGAAGTAAAGATACATCTGTATCTTAAGAGGATACAAACACAACCATCCTTTTTGATCCAGCCACATTTTTTTTCTACGTAGCATCGTTTCTACTACTCCCTTCTTGTCCTCCATTTTTACTGCATTTTGGTAAGGATCCGCTCTTGGCCCTCTCTCTGAAATCTGAGCTAGTCCAGAAGATGGACCAGACCACCCTGGAAGGCTCCCTGGATGTTTCCCTGTTCCCAAAATTTTGGCTTGAGAAAAATATCTGCAAGTCTTAAGGAAGGCTTTCTTCTGCATAAACAAAAAAGAACAACCAAGCTTTCATTCCTCCAACATTCAGGGCAAAAAAAATCAACAACACCAAACTATATTTCTATCAGTACCATTAGAGAAAGAATCCACTTGCCTAGAACTCAAGACTTCCAGATGCCATCTAGGCTAGCTTAATTTAAAAAAAAAAAAAAAAGGCCAATCAAACGAGAGACCTGCAAATTCTACGTAAAGGATCTAAGCTGCATTTTCCTGTCTCCTGGTTCAAGGAGAATTCATTCCAACAGTGTGTCGGTTATATATGAGCCTGTCTTGCAGCGAAGGAAAGCAACTCTTTGGTTCAGTGGTCAGGTCTAGGACAGCTACTACAATCATCTGATGCAGAAACGCACTCACACCCCCAGTTGCCATGGTGCGTTGTACCAAACTCTGGGATTATACCCACCTTCCTCCTATTTAACTGGGCACTGGCTTCCAATTCACACATTGTGCTAAAAGTCATCAAACGACTTCTGCAGTTTTGCTGTAACATATGTGCATCTCCTGCCAGGGGGCTTGCAAACCATCGTTTCACAGTTTAACATGCTCAATTTTTTATTTTGCAAACCATGGTTAATCCCGACAAGTAGTCCTCAATTTACCACCGAGCCCCAAATATATGTTATTGCTCAGTCAGTTTTGTGCCCCTTTTCTTTCCAACGAAGGTGCAATGAAGGGTGGCTCAGCCCATCTCATTGTACACGTGTTGTACTCTGACAATAAAGGTAATAATAATAAGAGAATCGCTGCCCTTGTTAAATTAGTTCACAGGGTTGTTAATCTGGTCTCTGCCTCGATTTTGCTGGTCAGGTGGTTTCCAAGGGGAATTCTGGGACACTGCAAACTGTCATAAAAGTGAAGACAGTTGGTCAAGGCATCCAAATGCAAATGACATGGCCACAGGGAGGCCATTAAGTGTGGAAAAATGGTCGTAAGTCATTTTTTTCGGTGGCCGTTTGTAACTTTAAACAGTCGCTAAATGGAACAGTTGTTAAATCCAGGACTACCTGTGCTTGATTCATAAGATCTCAAGGTTTCTAGTGTGAAGAATATCATCTGTTTTTTCCCCCCCAGTCAGGCTGGACTAGCATAAAACTAAACAGATGTCTCATTACCAGGCTGTGAACTGAAATTCACAGGAAGCCTACCTATTCCTCTTGTTAAGTAAATATTTTGAAATGCTGGACAAAGTATACGTCTGTTGGCAAGCAATCTAGACTTGGAAGAATCTGTCCAGGTGTGGCCTCTACCTGGCCAGAACTGAGAAGCATCCTGCATTTATCCCAATTTTCAGAGAAAAGAGTTCACAAGGCCCTGTCCTTCTGGGGTAAAAAAAAAAAGCAACAAGGGGAGGCAAGGTTCACATGTTTGCATTAAGCCAGGTTTTCTTAACTCCGATCTAACCAGGTTCTGGCAGGCTGGTTTCCCACACAGCACATTAGACCGAGAGCTGCAGTGAAGACCACAATAGCTGGAATGCACTGAAGCCAGATGCAAAGGAATCACATGACTTACACAATACGGCGGGGGGAGGGGGGAAGCCACACCAGAGAGTAGCGTAAAATTGTGCTTACGGTATGCTGGGGGGGGGCACAGGGGGTTCCCTTAAAGATGAAGGAACCCCCCCCCTTCAAGAGAAAAAGGCAAAGAAACCTTAAGCTAATTCTACATCCTAGGCAGATTTGGGTGGCCTTTGGAGGAAGAGCTTTAGAAATTGGTTAATTGGGGGGGGGGCACCTGAGCGAAAGGGGGGGGGCAACTCTGCGGACTTTTTCAGGGCCCCTTTCTTTAGAAGCCCCTTCCCCACTTTTGCAGGTTTCCTTGGCACAGGCTGCTTCAAGGGCAGGCGGGGTGGGGGGTCTGGAAGCTCCATCAGCTGCCAGCCTGCGGGGCACAGCTCATCCCAGAAAGCAGCCCCTCCCCACCCCAGCCCCCAACCTGAAGGCAAAAGCTCACTTTTGCAGCGTACTATGTGCGCTGCATCAATAATACGGGCTCAAAGAGGCGGCCCCGCAGCAAAAAAAGCAAGGGAGGAAAAGGGAGAGAGAGAGAGAGAAGCTCTACTGGAGGGAAGGAAGGAGGGAAGGAAGGAAGGAAGGAAGGAAGGAAGGAGAGAGAGAGAGAGAGAGAGAGAGAG